ATATATATTTATTTATTTATTTATCATGTTTATTTATAGTAGAGGAAGAAGATTGCATTCATCATTATTTATTGTTGTATAAACTTGGATCATATGGGCCTTGAACTTGGGCTAGCCATACTACTCTAAGTTGACCCATGTGGGCCTATGTGGCCAGTTATGTAGGCCATGTCTACGTTTGATCAATGCTTTGAAACCATAATATGACATAATATTGTTGGTGAAATATTTACAATAATTATGATGATGATGATGGATGTTGATGATGATGATGATGGATCAGAAATTCATGCAACAAATTAATGGAAAATATTACATGAAGAATTCTTACCTCCTTATTTGCAGTTTGATTATTAATTGGAAAATGAGAAATACATTATATGTAAAAATTCAAAAGAAGATAACAAATTATTAGACTGGTGAAGAAATTTCAAGTAGGGTTGATTCCTTAATTTGGTTCGATAAAACATGCATGACAACATTCCTATTTCAAGAAAGAGACCTCAGAGAAAAATAACATATAGAAGTTGACATAGAAGACGTAAAAATTAAGATAAGATCGAAAGTTTTGACATCTATCGTGCTAAAAAAGATGCGGTGATGACAATGGAACAATGAAGGGCAAATATGGCAAGACTATGAGGAGAGATAGTCATTAACCACAATTGGTTGATTTGGAATCGCTTGTGATCGTGGAAGCGGATGAGGAAGCGAAGAAGAAGATGAATAACCCAATATGGTAGTTGACGACATTCACATTCTCATTATGGACCTAAGTTTAGTGTGATCCTTAGGTATGTCAAACGATTTAACAAAAGTATTTTAATAATTTATTAGTAGTGATTTAAGAAAATTAGTTAAAAAATTTGTTTGCGATGTTAGGTATTCGAATGATTTGAAAAAAAAAAAAAATAATAAATAATGTTTTGATTCTTTTGCTATTGATGTAAAATTATGAGTCTAACTACCTTGCATTATGTACAAGGGGGCTTATTAATGTTAATTAATAAGGATACTGAGATCAACAGGGAATCTATAAGATTAGGGTTGGGTATTGGCTTATGTGCTTGATCAACAAGGACATAATGCGCTTATGAATCGGGCTTCATAGACTGTTTGCATGCTTTGCATATATTGATGCGTTTGCCTATGCATCAATGCATTACCACGAAATGAGGTTATTATATGGCATTTATGAACATATGAGATACTCGTCCAAATGTCTTAAGGGTGTTTGGTTGCCTGCTTACAAATAGAATAGTTTCAAAAATATTGATATTTAGTTTGAAGTAAAAAAAAAATGTGAATAAAATTTTAATTCATTTGAAATACATCATCTAGTTCGTTTTTTTTTTTAATTTGAAATTCCTCTGATTTGGATAGGTTTCAAATAAACCGAAAATTCATTGCAATTATCGCCGCTCGCTAGTCATCGCCTCCACGAGCTGGCCACTGACCACTGTCGTCACCACTGGCCACCCAGCGCCATGGGCCACCGTAGGGGCGATCACCATTCACTAACGCCGACCACCCACTGCAGCCACCCAACACCACCGCCGGCCACCACTGCCAATGTCAGCTACAGACCACTACTTTTTCATTTTTGCACTTTACATAACATACATTTTACTTAAAAAAAAAAATCTCATACATTATTTTTATAATCATCCAAACAACTACACAATATCACTTTAGTATTATATTCCTTTTTCAAGCAAACAACGTATCCCATAATATATTAGCATATCTTTTAAAGCAAAGTTCAAATGCATATAGTCTAATGAAACACTCAACATAGTTGAATCAATTTTTTCAAAGTAAAGCATTGAACAACCAATTGCCACACACATGACATCATTAAGCGAGCATTTATAACATCCAACATATTTATCAATGTTACATTGGTCGGATTTCTATTCTTTCTTGCTCCAAATTTAGAAATAAGTTTGATATAACATGCTTTCTTCAGTTCATTATCATCATGCAAGTCAAGTTGTTCAGGTCATTGACATGTTAACGAGTCATCTTAGGCTTCGTTTGTGATAGCTTCTTTACTGCTTCTTCAAGCAGCTTTCTAGTACTAAAAAGTTGTTTTAAGAAACAGTCAGAAAGTCGTCCCAAAAAAAACCTTAGTTTCCGAGTTCAGAACTTATAACAATGGTGTTGTATATAGAATAACTTGCAAAAGCTATACTAAATTACTAATTAATTCCTATTTAATCATTCTATCTCAGGCAGCGGGGATAATGATGAAGAAGGAAGGACTGTAGATGGTGAAGTAAGAGGCTCATGAACTACTGAGTTGGATGATATAGAGATAGGATTACCCTCCAGTTGCAGCATGATATTTCCAAGAATATCAGTCATTATTTTTTTGAACTGCTCCAGCTGCGAAATTTCCTTTTCATCAACTAGCTTGAATATCTCATTCACTATTGTGTCAACCTGTTTTTAACAGAATAAAATCAGATACAAAGTATAATCTAAACGCTCTGGTGGTATTAAACATTAAGGTTTCGTTTAAAAAATTGGGTCGGGTTCGGGTTGACCTAGCAACCTGAAATTGACACGAAAACGCCTATTTGACCTGGAAACTCGATTTTGACCCGAAAATCAAAGATTGACATGATTTTTGACCAGAAAACTTGCAATTTTAGGTCAAACTTGCAATTTTAGGTCAACTTCAGGTCATTCATGTCGGGTTGGGTTGACCCGGACTCGAATCGGGTCGGGTTCAGGTTCGAAAACCTGACCCGTTTTTAAAAACGGGTCGGGTTCGGGTTGACCTAAATAGTGTCAGATCAGTTCTGGGTTTGACCCGAATCTGACCCGTTGACCCGAATTGACACCCTTATTTAAAAAGCTGTTTTAGAAAATAGTAATAAAGCCGTCGCAAACGAAGCCTAAGATAATCTCATTTAGGCTTTCTTAGGGACGGCTTTCTTATTGCTTTCTAAAGCAGTTTTCAAGTAAAAAAATTTTATTTTTTTACTTAAAAACTGTTTTAAGTAGGAAAAAAACTGTCCCAAACGAAATCTTAGTTGTTTTTGTTATTGGAAGCATCACAGAGATTATTCGAGTAATTGGCTTATGTTAAGCAGCTCATGATGGTTAACCCTGTTACTCATTTTGTCTTTCAGCCTTCAGATTTAGGAAGGTTAAAACTGATGTGAAGACCACGCCAGAGGTTTAGCGTTTTTCTATAGTTCAAACAAACATTTAACTCTACCATTTTGTACAGCTACTACCTTGTCAAAATAGCAGGCAATTCATACTTGTAGAAACTAGGAATGTTTGCTGTACCATGAACAAATTTATAGCATAAAATTATGTGATATGAAGGGTTGAGATTTTACCCCAAAGATTGATTATTTAGGCTTTTGACTCGGACCAAGTTCGGAGCGAGCTATAACAGCCATATCAGTAGCTCGGTTCGATCTTCATGCCCGTTTTAAGTTGGGGCTAGAATCGGATCAAGACGACTAGTGACTAGCTTGAAATATAAATAGTATGCATATTTTTTAATAGCGAGTATTATAAACATACCTATATACAATTTAAATATTTTTTAAATTAAAAAAAAAAATCTCAACTGAACTCGATTTAAATTCGAGCTGGCTCAAAATCCAGTTAATTTGAGCTGAGATGGCTTGCGGATCGAATCGATTCAATCTTCGAGCCAATTTCGAGCCCATTTCTATATATTCGAGCCGATTTCAAGCCGGCAAAGAATTGACCCTATATCTGATCCTTCTCAACCCTAAAAGAATATGATATCCACCATTGTCACACTTCATATTCTAAAGTTCTCAAAACTAACCTTGAGCCAAACTTAATTTGTAATTGATTGGCAAGTAAAGCAAAAATTTCAAAAACATCAAGATACCTGATCGACAGTACCATAACATGGCAAATCAGCTGATGTTGCCATACGGTCAAGTGCAACTTGAAGAATCCGCCTTGCTGAAAACACATTGGACTCCTTTTGCAGGTCTCTCCAAACCAGATCTAGCAACTAAAAAAAAGCCCATACTTGCATTAATCAACAAATTAATTGATTCCGATATACAAAATAACAAGGATTTTAATCTAATTTGCATCCGGCAAACTTTATGTAGGAATTTCTGCATGTCATAACAGTTATGGATATCTGCTTCAATCTTCACAGGAGTACTTCAATTTAGTTCATTCCGTGTTATTTGATTTCGTTTTGGATGTTTTAGATTTCATGCATGTAAACCTTATGTAATATATACTAATGGCATGATTGAACGCACTGTTGAACTGAACTCTAAAAAAAACTTTCTTACAATCCCTTTTCCTTTCTTAATCTAAACCCTTACTGGTCCTCTCCGACCCAATTTCACTTAAAGTCCTACATCCCTTTTTCCTCTTCTTCATAAGCCTTGGTTGAAGCATGTATAGTACTTCTCCATCTTCAGGAAACCCAGAGCATGGCGGAGAAAAAAGGAACAATGCTAATTCCGTTGCATTAACAAACCAGTCGGGTTATTTTCTTGAATAAAACCAACAAGATTCAGCTCGAAATGGTGGTAATCTAACAATTTCTCCTAACCCACACTGCACTACCCTTTCCTCGCTAGCACACCAATGATGCATGCATATGCTACGTGGCGGAGCCAAAAAATTTATTCAGGGGGGTCTAAATTAAACATTACAAAAAAATCACCCATTAACGACAGAATTTTCCGGCGGTCAATTTTCCGGTGGTCAATTTTCTGGTGATTTGCCGCCTCATTTAGAATGTTAGAATACATTAAAATAATTGCGTTCGCCGTCTCATTACCGGAGCAAAGAGGAGCCGTAAGATCAAAATTAAGAATGCAAATAATATGACGAGATAGGAGCGAAAGGGAAAACAAAAGCCTTGCTTGAGGTTGCGAGTTGTGAGAGAGAAGCAAATGGGAAAACGAAACAGGTAGTTTGGGTCGAGGAAAAGCAAACCATTTGGGAGCGGTCTCCGTTTGGGCCTGTGATATGATATTGTTGTCAGAGTAAAAATTTTTATAAGAAAGTTATTGTGAAAATTAGTAAGAAAACTATTCCGAACAAAGCCTAAAGCATATTCTTGCATGTTAAATCATGGAATTGTTAGATCTTATTTTTTATAAAAATAATGCTAAATTTTTTTTATGTAAATTGATCATGCAAACTTAAATTTGCTTTAAAATGAGTGCAAAACATAAAAAATTCAATTAACTGTATATTACACATATCTTAAAATAATTATAATACTTTTAAGATCCTAAAAAAATAAAATAAAAGATATAAGTGTCTTATATATTTTAAAAATAATTTATTGTATCTAAAATTTTTATTTAGTAAAAAAATCAAAACTAAATTTCTTATTTTCCTCTCGAAAGCCCCAAATCAATTGCCCGCACTCAATAGCTCATTTCCTGAACATTTCCATTTTCATTTCTCCCTTAAAGATTATGGCTACAATTTCACAACAACGCTCGGAGACATCTCAATATTGACGTCCAATGCTATCACAATATCAATATTTCAAAACCATCTCAAAATTAAAGTCTAACATTGTGTTGACATTGACGCTCACACTAGCAATTTATACACTCACAATTAAACCCTCATGCCATCTGAATATCTCATCTTTGTCCAATGTAGTCTTAACATCGACGACCAATGTCATCTCTAGATAAACGAACAACGACGTCTTGACATTAATGCCCGACGCACATTACACAACATCGATGGCCAACAGTCGAGAGCATTGTTGTCTTCCCTCTCAATGCCTAACACGACATCGATGTCTGCTTTCGACATCCTAATATTAATCATTTTAAGTATAAATTCTAGTTAAATTATTTATTATTTTTCAATTATTTTTAATATTTTATTTGTTCAATTTTTATACACTATTTTTAATATATAAAAATTATAATGTTATATCCAACTCATGCTACTGTCCTAAATTTTAAATAATTGGCATGTCCCATATTTGTGTCATGTTCGTGTCGTCGTGTCTGTGTCAGTACATCTTAGATTCTCAATTAGGGGTGCAAATGAGCCAAACCTGAGTCGAGCTTATTGAGTTTAGAGCTTGAGCTCAAGTAGAATTTTAAGCTTGTTGAATTATCGAACTCGATCAAAGTAGTGCATGACTCGATTACTCATCAAGCGACTCGAGTGCGGAAGCGGAAGTGGAACCGCGAAAGCCAACAGAGGAAGGCGGAATTGCGGGGGCGGGTTCGGACTCGAAAGGCCGAACCATGGGGACGGGGTTGGATGAAGAAAGCTGAAGCCAAAGAATATGCTACCAATCAAACTTTATGCTCAAGTAGTCTAATGGACTGTGTAAGGACTAGTGGCCTGGAGAAGATTTTTTCTCCAATGCTATAATTTTGAGCTGTATAATTTGCAATTTATTGCTTATCATTCTATAGAAAAAAGGAGTTTACTTCAAAGATAAGGATCCATTCAATTTTGCAATTGTGCAGAAAAAATTTCTCCCATAATCCACAAAAAAGATAGCTCAAAGTGATAGAGCTTCTTATTTTTTTCCTCTTCACTTTCACTCTTCGTCCAGATCTTTATCAGAAAGGAGGACGCAAGATTCCAAGTACACTAAAATACCAAGTTTAAGAAAATGGCAGAAAATAAACAAAACAACTAGCAAAACGTGGGGCATTTATTAAAAAAACTAACCTTATTTAATTCGAATTTGTTGGAGAGCAATCTCCTGATACCACCACCATCGAAGGTTTTCTCTGTGTGAGCGACAATGACTGGCTGCTCCTGAAGACGTTTAATGATATCACAAATAAACTTTTTGAATTCTTTCAAGAAGTTCTCTTCAGAAGCAGGTTGTTCTAGTTGATCCACGGATAGTATTTGCAAAGCCGGGTCTACAATGTTGTCAAAAACCTATGAACATAGCCATAGTTATCTCAGAAAAATCAAGTGTGCTCCAGAAACCAAGCCTAGCCAGGGGATACGATCCTTGATTTCTAAATGAGGCAAACTTCATAGAACGACCAAAAATATTCAAAAGAAAAGCACTAACGTCCTTTGATTCTACACATGCTACCGACTAAACAGCACTATTTAATAACTACAAAATAAGCAATAAAGAAGATTGTGGAATAAGAAGAATGCCAATTCAACTCAACTACCAAACCAACCATGTGGTTTCGTTAAGAGAGTGTCAAGTTTTGGATAAATTTCAGTCTCAAATAATGGATCAAGATATGAACCTTGCATGTAAAGATCTTTCTTTGACTTTATTGTGATCAAATTATAATTAACAACTTAAAATGACCCGCTTATGGAGCAAACAATTTAACAGAACAAGTTGCAAAAGGTACTGCAACAATCCTGATTTTTGTTGAAGTATATGCCCATCAGGTTTAAAATTTAGGGGATTTACATATGCGTCACAAATTCATATATATTTGCATGTATAACATCTAAATTTTTATGTTTACTTACACAAAATGCAATCTTTAAATCACATAAAAGACATTACTAATATTAACTTTTTAAAAATGAAATAGATATTTTCATACCAATGTTTTGATATGTCTGAAACACTTTAGTGTCATATGAGTAAATATAATTTAGTTTTTAGATATATAAATACATAAAAAAATTTGTGTACATATGTAATCCCCCCTAAAATTAAGCAAAAGGTGGATATGTTGATCTTTTTTATCTAATCACTCCCCAAACCAGGCCAAGCTTTAGTTAGACTAGTTTGTGAACAATTCAATCCAAACCCATCCCTTCAATCTGATAAATTACTTGACAGTTCACAATGAAAAAGTCAATATAATTAACGCATGCACAACTACTGATTTACCCAAGAGTCAGAAGAAGGGGGCAGTCCATGGTCGACCGTTAGTTGTTCCAAAGCCATCATAATAGACTCACGCAAAGATGAGCTTCTTGCTTCTATCTGTGAGAATATGTTGATCATCTCAGGATCAAACTGAGTGCTGGCTAAGAATTCCTTTAAACATTCACCATCAAACCTTAAGATCAAAATGGGGATCTTCTTCAGCTCGGCCATTCTGAAAATTAAAGATGACAAGTAGCACATCGTAAAACATTCTGCTTAAAACATAAAGTTTAGTCAAAATCTTCAAGAACCACAACCAGCTTTCAGTAAAATAATGATCATTTAGTGATTTAGCCTAGTCATCTATTTTTGCTTCATATCATGAACTGGAATTTCAAAGAAAAAGCGTGACCAGGTTTTACTATAATTCAAGATTTTCTTGGCTTCATTCTCTTAGTTCAATCTGCTTATTGGTTATTCTTAACATGCATAAAATAATTCCCTCTTCCGATCTTTCTAGCGCCAAACAAAACTTCGCTGGACCACAAAAAAGATAATGAGATCATGTGAAATCTTGAATTTTTTATTTTCGAAATAATGATGGCGCTATAAAAAAACATGCAAGTTCTTTCGAACAAATTGCGCTGTACAAAATTGCTTGCCGCCCTCTAAAGTGTTTTATTCATCATATAAAGAAAAATAAATATCATACAAAGAAATGATTGAGAAATTTACTCACCCAGATCTACTTAGGAAGAAGGGAATGAATTTATCTATCAAGAGTGTTAGATAAACGCTTTGAGAATGGGCTGGAGGGGATGGTGTCGGAGGCAAGCGTGTTGAGGAATCCGGCGGAAGTTGTCAGAATCAAGGAAGCAAATCTCCGGCTTCTGACTTATGGAGGAATAGGATTGAACAACACGGCGGAGGTAGTTTAATACAACATATGACACGATGACGACGAAACATACCAAGCAAAATCAAGGCAGGTCAGGGAAACTAATTACCTCTTAGAATTAAAACAAGACTACGGCGACGAAGCGATGGTGAAAATGAGCAAAGAAATTCGATTAATCAACGCAACAGAAACCAATATTCTCTTCGCCATTGCCTCCAGCTTTCCCTAACTACGGAGATCTCATTAATAATAACTTCGGTATCGTTGATTTCACATGTGGATCTCCTTTGCAGAAAAGTAAAAGCTAGGAACGCGTTCCTCGTGATCGCCTCATCCTTACCCGTTTCTTCTCTCTGACCAACTTGCAACTTTCGTGGAAGAGCCATTAAAGGAAAGTAAAAGGGGAAGAAAATCGAGCGATCGGATGGCGAGGGAAAGCAGAGCAACGACGAAATAGAGTGAAGAATGAGGGAAAGTGGCGCTAGGCGCCACACCGACGCAAGAAATCCACCCGGATTCGTGTGAACAAGGACATATATATATAGTAATTAAATTTTATTAATAATTTTATTAATGGACTTGTCAGCTCTTAGTCTTTGGAGAAATTATTCTTGTGTGGAGACAGGATGTAGAAGATCGTCTAAAGACTATTCAGAATGCGTCACATCAATGATACAGAGCAGTGTCGAGCCGCGGTACAGAGCGGAGGGGTGACGTGACGCATTTTGATTGGTCTACATATGGTGTTCGTCGTCCTCACATAATATTTTTTCTAGTCTTTGAGAGGTGATATGACGAAATACAAGATGATTTGGATCCCCCTCCTGGGACTCGCTAATGCCCTCACCATTGGAGAATTTATTATGTGCAGAGTCTAGACACACCTTGTAGTCATACACCAATAAGAATAAGCCATGTCAGTTTGTACACACACTGTGTATAGTTTGTACACATGCGATATACAAATTATAAACAATGTACATGCTACGTGGTCGGTTCTAATTAGAGTTCAAACATCATATGGACTCCACAAGTAATAATTTCTCGTGCCAATGAGCTTAGTTGGATCTCAACATCACTGGAGCCATTGATGCACTCGATTACAAGATTTCACAGTCTCATAGGAGGAATATGAGACAGAGGGAGTGTTAGAGCGAATGACAACAAGTAAAAGGCGACGAAACCAATGGCAACAAAAGGCGCCAAAATGAATAGTGTGACACATTATTAGGGGTGTCAATATTTGACAGGACATGAAAATCCGACCTGAAAATTTTGGGTTGACCCTGACCCGTTTGAAAAACAAGTCGGGTTCGGGTTGACCCGACGGGTTGCTGGGTCAACCCGAAAACCAGTTTAGAGTGAGCTGCACGTGCTGCCCGCACCTGCCCCGGTTACCCGCGTAGCTGCCCGCGCCCTGCCCTAGGCTGCCCAAGTCGCGCAGCTGCCGCTCACGAATCGCGCCTGTGGATGGCGCGTTGCTTGCCTGCTCGCCCGTGTCGGGTCGAATCCAGGTCTGAGTTTCCGACCCGTTTACCTACCCGGGTCAGGTTAGAATCTACCCGATTGAACCCGGGTCTGACCCGAACCCGATCCGTGACCCGAAATTGACACCCCTACACATTATTAACTAAGGGTTTGAAAATCGGACCCGAACAATGAATCGGAAGAAGAAGAGGTTCACGGTTCAATCAGTTGAATCGGGGGTCGAACTGGATGACATAATAAATAATAATATTATCATAAAAATTAATAAAATTAACAAAATAATGAATATAATAACCTTATAAATTTATAAACTTAAGGCAAATTTATATGCCTATAATTCATCAAATATGCTTTGAAATTAGCATAATACAAATTCTTCATATATAATACTAATTTGAAAACAAGCCCATTTCAACCTAATTCTTCGCAAGCCAAACTTGATGAACTAATGAGCCTCCGACCAATCTAAACTCGACTCATTAGCTCACAAAACTGGCTCGTTCAAAAATATTACTATAAAATTCACTTAAAATATATTAATATTCAAATATAAAACTATTATAAAAAAAATCATATCACTTTATTAATTATTTATCATCTAATTCTCATTTCTCATTCATTTAATAATTTATTATAATAATTGTTTGAATTATAATCATTCTTTTTCGTTACAAACCAAACGACCCAAACTCCTAAAATTAAGCTCGAGCTCGAATTCGAACTCAATTAGCTAACCAAGCTAAAATTAAGATTGACTCGAGCTCGACTAGTTTGGACTCTGAATGAAAAGATTGATGGATCAGTTTTGTTGGCTTCCATTGCAAGCATCGCTGCAGATTCTGATGCCGCTCAAAATGTAGCCTCCGAATGCGCTCATTTGCATGTGTGGATGAGTGCGCGATGGAAGAACCTGAATTTACAAGAAAATCATAGAGCTGTCTGAGAGAAAGTACCTTCATAAGTCATAACTTCGAAAGAAAGCTGTGGTGACAGCAAAATTTAAGCTTTCTTCGGGACATTTTTTTATTGATTTTTAAAATAAATTAAAAAAAAAAACTTTATGACATAAAATTTTATATCAAGAAAATAATAATAAAACTGCGATGACTTTTTGGCTATTTTTTTAAGTAATTTTTTAATTTGAACTAAAAATTTTTGTTCTCAAAAATAGATTTAGGAAGCATTAAAGAAATTATCCTAAACGAAATCTTAATCAAGAAAACACTCTTAGCTTCTAAAAGAAGACTTGAGCTTCGTTTGGGGCGACTTTTTTTATTGCTTCTTAAAACAACTTTCTAGTTTAAAAATTAAAATTTTTATACTAGAAAATTGCTTTAAGCAGCAGTAAAAAAGCAGTCCCAAACGAAGCGTTAGGCTTCATTTAGGACGGCTTTTTATTATTTTCTAAAACGGAATTTTAGTACAAAAATAAAAAAATTTGTACTAAAACTCTGTTTTAGAAAGCAGTAAAAAAGCCGTCCCAAATGAAGCCTTAGTCTGGGACGAATTTTTTACTGCTTTCAAAAGCAACTTTTTAGCAATAAATTCAATAAAGATAATGAAAAACCAATAATCAAAAGCTGATAAAAAATTTTAATTTTTGTACTAAAAAACTACTTCAAGAAGCAGTAATAAAGCCGTCTCAAACAAAACCTGAATCAGTTGTGAACTTTTGTTCTCTGAAACCAAATTTAGTGTGCGTGTGTGTATAGATATAATTATCCCAACAGTTGGGAAGGTTTTAAATAGCAAGGAAAAAAAATTAACGTTGCAATAGAAATCAATAATACAGAAAGCAGGAGGACAGACCTGGTATTCTCGAAGCCATGGCTCAGATATTTGCAAGCTAATGGCCATTTTTGAAGCTTGCAATCTGTGCATGCACGCTGCAAGTGGCTGCAAACATTAACATCCAAAAATTAGGCGAGGAGGTTTTGCAAGTATAAGAGATGAAACAAAAATGTTGCAAGACGCAGTATCACAAGTATAGTGCTTAGGAAGAACAAATGAAGAGAGTATCAGGCTTCGTTTGATACAGCTTTCTTACTGATTTCTGAAGCAGTTTTTTAATACAAAAATTTTAGAAATATTTTAACAAGAAAGCTGTTTCAAAAAACATTAAGAAAATTGTCATAAATGGAACCTTAATAATAATAAAATATTCCAGCAATCCAGCCTGCATATTTCCCTCCAATTCATGCAATCCAATCCACCACCTTACCATCCTTTCACTTCATGCCACCTTATTGATCCATGGAATTATTTTTGCCACATCATCAATCTATAAATTATCCCTAAATTGTAATAAATTCTTAATTTATTTTTCATTCACTAAATAGCATATATTTATTGCTAGAGATTCCACTAAACTACAGTGGCGGAGCTAGAAAAATTTTCAGCGGGGGCCTAAATTTATTTTGCACAAAAGAAAATCATCCATCCTAATTGACTATTTCAGTAAAATTTACTCAAAATATATCAAACTTTTGGATTTTTTTTTTTCTAATTATTTTGCTCCAAAATCATCACAGTTGATTTAGCAAAAGCTGTGGAAGAACAAGCTAAGCCAAACTCTTGCTGGGCACAAAACAGAAATCGGAGCAGAAGTTGAAAATCAAAACAGAATCGAACGAGGGAGATGACATCACGGGTGCGGGGTGGCAATGACGAGGATACTAGCGCAGGAGACCTTGTTTCAGCATTGGGTGATGGCATCGACGGCAACACTAGCCTTGATGACAGTGTCAAAACCATCGCCAGCGAGGGAGGGATTGTTCGAATTATCCTTTTCCACCTTATTGTTCGTCGTTGACGCCACAATTACCGACGCATCGCAATCGTGCATGTCACGGGATAAGAAGATCGCAAACAGATAAAAAGCAAGAAAATAAGATTGAAGGAGAACTGCGAAGTACATTGACGAACCAGCCATGGCAGAAGAGGCTGAGTGTTCAGGCAACGGCGACGAGACAAGCAACATAAGCTCTAAATTGAGCTCCGCCATTTTTTTAGGGGGGGCACGTGCCCCCGTTGGCCCCCCCTTGAATCCACCATTGCTAAACTAGTAATAATTCAAGACAAATGATGGAATTAAACATTCAACAAATTCTCTTCAATTCTTGTCAATCTTCCAATAACATTGACTAACAATTGTTATCCACCTAAATTGCATATTATACTCATCTTATTCTCTAAATCTTTAATCTCATAAAAAAATTTCAACTTTAATAAAGTGTAATTTTCTACGAAGAAGAGATTCATGCCACTTCAACTTACAAAGAAAATTCTAATGGGGAAAAGAAAAAAAGTGATTTCAACTTTATAATCAAAATGCTGTGTAAGAAGTCACAGGACAGAAGTCATACTATAAATTTTCCAGATTGTAAAGCTCAAGTAGAAAAGATAAACTGCACCTGAAGGCAATGATGGTAAATTGCAAATGGCGCAGAATATGATAAAAGAGGAAGTAATTTCTGGACCAAGCTCCCCACCTCTATTTCTGGCGCAGCCACAATCAGACTAAATAACAAAACAAAAGGAGGATGAGTCATAAAAAACCCATGAATTCTTAAATTCTGTTTACAGTAGTAAATTTCAAACCTAGAAAAACCTCTTTCCTTCCAAGAATTCACTAGTTCTGATGATGCCTGCCTTCCAGGAGATATTGATTTCACAGTAGTTGAAGAAACACTGATACCTTCATCATCTTCAATGGGAGGGTTTGAATCTGTTTGTGGAGAAGATTGCCCTCTCGTTTCGGCATTGAAGATCTCATGTGAAGTACAGGACCGGTCAGACGAAACATTTGTTTCCTGAATAGATTCGTCCATACTTTTGGTATTCTTGATGTCGCCCTCAGTTTTTAGAAGGTCTTGATGAAAAGATGTACTGTCATTTTCTCTAATAATGCAGAGATCAGTAAAAGTAGCCTGAACAATTCTGCATTGAAAAAATTCCTAAAATTAATTTCAAGCCAGATGTTACCAACGACATCTGAAGCATTTTTTAGCATAATTTCCTTAATTTAACAATAAGAATCTGCACAATTTACCATAATAATTTGCTTAGTTAAACTACAATAATGTTATTCAATCCAATCAATCTATAATAAAATAGTATAAAATGACTGGTCATATTTACTTTGAAATAAAATAAAATATCAAGGGACTCCCAAATTATGTTAAATATTATTAAGAAAGAATGTAAAATGGAAAAAGTAAGTTGAATTATTTAGGGGAAAAAGTGAATACAAATCATTTGAAATTCCAATTCTTAATCTGGGAAGCATTTCTTGCGAGCCAGTCCAGTTAACAAAGATTTTATGCTATTTTAAACCTAATGAACCTATACCTGCTGTTAACTTCAGAACTGAAGTTGAACATACGCACTATATCAATTGGGTTGCGAGAAGTTCCGAAGTGTGTGCTACACACATAGCCTGTACCTGTAAAAAATCAAAGTGGTAAGGTACTAATATCATCACTAGTCAATACTGCAGTAAATGTAGGTCTAAATAGTCGAAGGACTATTTTGAAATTTAACCCTAAAAATATTATTTAACTAAATTAGATTGTTGATTTAGGAAAATATTATAAATTGAGGAAATCATCATTTTTAGGTTGATTATGAAAGGATGAGACTTAGAGAGATAAAAATAAAAAAATGAGTCTCAAGGAGAACATAATAATTTCAATGAGATACTCAATTTCTAATATAAGGAGCACATTGTTCAGAGATCTAATACATGCATATTTATATGATTCTATTAACATGTTATGCATATAGTTATAGAATTTCTTCATATTGAGCATCTTAATAGCATCTAAGGTTATCAGAAGGTTAAATCTATTTTTTATGATAGTTGGTTTAAATGATTTTAAGATAATATTCATCAATTCCAATCATAAGATGTCTAATTGCATATGAGGCATAAATTGGTATCTAAATATCGATTTTTACATGTATCATGCTTTACCCTTATGCATATCAGTATAAGTTGATTAATAAATGTGCATATCAATGCTAATGAATTATAAAAGTTTAAAATGATAAGGTTAAAATTTAATGAAATCCTATGAAAGGTCATGCCATGTAAAGGGAGGTAGAATATGATGACATGCAGGGAGAGACAAAAGTTTTGATGAGATAAACCTTATTAGAAAATAAAAAAGATTTTCCAACTCTTAATGCCATAAAGTCGAGATGGTTCAACCTGTATCAAGGGATCGTTGATAAATCTAATGCTGGACTTTATCAAAGTTTATTATGACCGACTAGGTGACAACAAAAGAATAAAAATGTGTCAAAGCCTATACAAGTATTATATGACATTTCTAAGGAAGAGATTAGTAAGAATGAGAAAAAAATATATATAAATTAAAAATTAAAAAATTATTCTCAGTAATTAACTATTCTGGAGTTTATACTTGTAGTTTCAAATTCAATTGTTAACGCAGTTAATTAACAAAGCATATCATGATTTAAAATCTACGGCACTAAGCTAATTATGTCTTTGAATACTAATTCTCATTTTAGGTCCCTATGAACAACATCTCATTTTAACTCCTATGATCAACATGATATTTATGTTATTTTTTATGTTAGCACTTTATATTAGAGCTATTCATCCTACATAACATGTAGCTCGTCCAATCTTAGAACTGTGATATCAAGGAAAACAAAGCTGCAGGCAGAGTGGTAGACAAGTGACCAATTTTGCGCTCTACAACAACTTTCTCGGTGAAGGATTTTGAGGTGTATTATAGAACATGTGTATGATATAAATAAAAGTATTTTAGTACGTCTAAATTTATATTAAATTTTATTTAAAAGCTTTATATTCAACTTGATGATTTTTTATGTACGCTTCCATATAAAAATTTCTGATAGACCTATTAGATAATAAAGAAGAATGATGCATACTTTTTTGATGATCAAAATAGATTAACTTTTCACTCTCGATCTTAAAATCAGAATGAGTGTTGGAGAGAAATGTGTCTACCTCTGTTATGCCTTACAGTTGACTGAAAGAGAGGGGGGTCAAAACGGGGCTTGACAATACAAGAGTTATGTAATAATTATAAGGAACTTATTTTGTGGAATTCAAGAGGTGTTTTAGTTAAAGAAAAATAAATAGAGACCACATAGTTGACCGAAAAACTCCCTAATCTCTTTCAATAGAATGTACCACTTTTTTTCACTTCTTGAATACTTTATAGTTAAAAAGTAGGATAGCCATGGTTTGAAAAGTAGGGTAGCCATTGTACATAAAAATGGAAGAGCCAAAGGCAAACTTTGATTCTAAAGGTAGTCTTAGTTTTAATATATGATAGATAAAACAGATACATCTTTGAAGTAAAAACAACAAATAGATAGAAGAAAAAGGCAGGAATACAAATATGGGGGCTGATTTTTTATTATTTCTTCAACAACAATGAAAGATACAATTGATCTACTATTCGAGACGTAGATCGGTTCTCCTAAAAATCCTAAAAAAAAAAAAACTCAGCACATATATCATGATAACCCTAGACAAAAGTCTCCCTTAAATAGCCATCCCACACAATAAACACAATTGGAACCTTCCTAAATAGCATAAACATAATTAGAAAATCTTCCTAAACAATTAAAACCTTCCTAAACAACATAAACACAATTAGGAAACCTTCCAAAGCGTCTCCCTCTTGATTCCTCCTCCTTACAAAATGAATAATAGTTTCCCTGGGCCCCGCAAGGGGGGTTGAAATTTCCCCCTATGTTGCCCCTGGTTTCGCCCAGCCAAAGGGCTAGTTTGGCTGGGTTTGGGCTGGTCTGGGCCTGCCAGGTTATGAATTTGTTTGGAAACCGTTTGGTAATCCAAATTGTGGTTTGAACCTTCCAATAGCGCTTCAGGTATTCGATTCAGACTCATTTGGGCTCGAATTGAGTTGAATTTGGTGTCATTGGGTTTGTATTTTTGAGATGCTCAGTTTGACTGTAAGTTTGCTGAAATAGGAGTTTAGATGATCCTGAATTTAATTTATGAAGTTTCTGGCTTGATTTTTGCCTCGAGATTCGTGTTCGATCAAAATAATTTTTTGATGATATATTAGTTGTCCCCATATTTTCGGACTTCGAAACTCTAGAAGTCCGAAAATATTTGTTCCTATACTTTACATTGGTCGAATCGTGAAAAATTGTGTTCGAAAAATTAAAAACTTGTCAAACTTGATTATATAGGCCTCGTTGAGCTCCAAAAATATCAAAATTGAGTCTGGAACGTTGAAAAACGTGTCTGGAGACTCCAAAAATGTACGATTTGGACCATTTGGGCCGAAAATCGGGCCCAAACAAGCGTAGGTAGCCGAACCAGCCGGCCTGCGTGCCGGCCGCCGCCCGGCCGCTTTGGCGGCAAACGCGCTGCGCGCGAACAGGGGCTTTTGGATTTTTGCCTGTTCGGGGCGCGTGGTTAGCCGCGCAGATACTTTTTTTTATATATATTTGTTTTTGTTCAGAAAAAAATTCAAAAACATTTCAAAAAATTCCAGAAAATTCTGAAAATTTCTAGAATATTCTTGAAACTGATCATCTTCTAAAAAATGTTATAAATACCCCTCGGACCAGAGGGAAACTTGCACATTCTTCTTTTATTTTCCTTTTGACTTTCTTACAGTCGAGACATTCCGCTGTTTTATGTAGGTGATTTTTCCTACTTAAATCAACGCTCCTTCATTTGTATAGAAGTTAAAATTTCCTCTTCTTTCTCTCTCGTTTTTCATCTTTTTTAACTTTATTACAGTTGAGGCTTCCCACTATTTTTTCGTGGGTGACTTTCCCTGTACAAAATTAGTGTCCCTCTCATTATATAGAAGTTAGAATTTTTGTAGCATTTCTTTTCCTTTCTCCCCCATCTTCTTCATGCTTTAGAGGCATTCCACTATTTTTTGTAGGTGATTTTCTCTACTCAAAATCAATGCCCTTCTTCTTGTGTAGAAGTTGGATTTTTTGCAGCCGTTTCTTTTCTTTCTCCTCCCTCGTTCTAACTTTCTAACAATGGAGATATTCCATTATTTTTCGTAGGTGACTTTCCCTCGCAAAATCAGTGCCCATCTTCTTGTGTAGAAGTTAGATTTTTTGCAAATGTTCATTTTCTTTTCATCTAGTCTTCTTCTTATATTGGAGATATTCCACTGTCGGAGATAGGCGGCATTCCCCTATCAAGCTTCAGTGTCACTCTCTTGTGTAGAAGGACATTTTTTTCTCATTATTCTTCACTTACGTTCTTCTTCTTACATTGGAGGCATTCCACTATCGGAGATAGGCGTCATTCCTCTATCAAGCTTCAGTGCCCCTCTCTTGTGTAGAAGAAGGTACGATGAGAGGTAATCTTCTTAATAGACAACCCTTGACAGAAGAATATCAATTACTTCTTTTATGCGAGGGTGATTTGAGAAAATCTGGCAGTAATAGTACTCGGGAGGAGAGCCAAAAGTTATTAGTAGACGGAGTGAATTTTGATGTTGTTCGAGCGAAAGTCTATCGACGATGGATGATCAAGTTGAAGCCCATTGTCAATCAAAGGTCTGGTGTAGAGCTAAAGGAGAGAGTTGAGAGTGTGCTACTATCAGTAGTTGAGCAAGAAGCCCATGATGACATATATAAAGTGAAGGACTGCCGACATGCATCAGATGAAGTGCCGATGATGATGGGTGTGCAAAGGCAATATGCATCCATACAGAAATGTGCCGACATCATATATCTTTATATGGATGATGTAAATGTACTTTTTGATTTCAAATTCTAGCAAGAATAGATGTACACTTGAATCTTGATGTTGGATTTATGTAACTCCATTGTATATGAAGTTAAGAAATTGTCCCTCAGAGGAAATTGAATTGTTTATATATCTTTGAGATATGCTTTGATATATTGCCCCCCATATTTTTGGAGGCACTCTTAGACTGTTAAGGTTTTTATATGAGTGATGATTTTATCAACCACTTGCTTTCATGAAATCTTTATAGAGAGAATGTTATTCACTTATAACACTGCTTGATGACGTTAACCTGTATGAATGAGATCGAGAGAATCCACCAAGGATGTAAGACCTGTCCGAGGTTGTATGTCAGAGCCCTGCTCGATGACGTTAACCTGTATGAAAGAGGTTGAGAGAATCCACCAAGGATGTAAGGCCTATTCGAGATTATATGTCATAGCAATGCTAGATGACGTTAACCTGTGTAGAAGAGGTCGAGAGAATCCATCAAAGATATAAGACCTAAACGAGGTTGTATGTCAGAGCATTGCTCGTTGACGTTAACCTGTGTGGATGAGGTTAAGAGAATCCACCAAAGATGTAAGACATATTCGAGGTTGTATGTCAAAGCCCCGCTCGATGACGTTAACCTATGTGAAAGAGGTCGAGAGAATCCACCAATGATGTAAGACATATTCGAGGTTGTATGTCAGAGCCATGCTCGATGACATTAACCTATGTGGAAGAGGTCGAGAGAATCCACCAAGGATGTAAGACCTATCCGAGATTGTATGTCAGAGCCCTGCTCGATGACGTTAGCCTGTGTGGAAAAGGTCGAGAGAATCCACCAATGATATAAGACCTATCTGAGGTTGTATATCAAAGCCCTGCTTGATGATATTAACCTGTGTGGAAGAGGTCAAATCAAATCCCTTTGGGATTAATCTAGTGATTGAGACACAATAAAGATTGTGTATTTCTCAAATCATAGATAAAGAGATTATATTCATCGGTAGTTTTTTATTGTCATTTTTATCCTTTTTTTTAATGAGACAATATTAAAACGGAGTAAACAACACATTATTATGTCATGTAAGATAATACAATAAGTCTCTAATATAACTTAGGGATATACAAATTACACTATACTCAACATATAAGATGTACGTATATGAACAACATAATATTTAACTTTAAAGAAAATATTAGGAATATCAAAGTGATACCCTATTTAACATAAAAGAGACACGATGAAACAAGATAAGTAGTATTACTAATACAATGTACGAAGTGCGTGGTCATTTAATCTCACCAATCATTTGAATATTATTCAATGGTTGTCTTTGTTGTTGTTGATTTCACCCCTCAGTATGATCAGCTTTATCTCGAGTAGGTGGGTTTTGAATGAATTGTCAGAGATATTCTTGTTGGATCAACCTTTCAATGTCATCCTTAAGCTGTCTGCAAGCTTCAGTAGTGTGTCCACGACTGCGGTGGAAATGACAACATTGCTCCTGATTTCCTACATTCGGCTTTAAAGCATTGGGCCACTTAATATTTTCTTGATCTTGAATGACCATCAGTATATTGGTTCGAGATGCGCTGAGAGGTGTATATTCTTCCTCTTGTTGAAATCTTTGTCGTGGCAAAGGAGATTTAGGAGGCAGGCTATTCTTCCATTATTTCTTTTGTTGCAACCATAAGTTATCCATTATAGGAGCATTTTTGCGCTTTCCGGGAGGTTTTTAAAATTACTTTCTGTGGGCGTTGATAGCTTCATCTGCTGATATTTGTGCCTCCACACGATGGATCAGGTTGGCATATAAAGGAACCGTATCTCGCATAAGTGCCGAGTAAAAAAGACCAGAATGAAGACCTCCAAGAAAAACTCCTCTTAGCAATTCAAGATATACTCCTAGAATTTATCGAGTTTTCGTGAAAAATCGCTGAAAATACTCATTTAGTGATTCTCTTTCATTCTGACAAATCCAAGAAAGGTGGGAAGAATCCTTAGCTATTCTTCAATTGGCGATAAATTGTTCAACGAATACTTTGGCCAATTTGACAAAAGTGATGATTGTTCTAGCTAGGAGTGAATAGAACCATATTCGTGCTTGTCCTTTGAGAGTAGCAAGAAAACTTGACATAGGAGCGCATCAGAGGCTCTCTGGATATGCATAATGGTCCTATAATGATCGATATGCTCGTATGGGTTTGATGTCCCATTATGAGAATCGATACTCGGTAGTTTGAATCTTGCCGGAATGGGATGTTGAAGGATGGCTTCGGTCAGGAGTGATGACTTCTGTAAGTCCCATTGATGATGAAATTGCCTTATACCCCTTATGGAAACTCTTCTCGGACAAATCTTCGTAATTTATGACGTAGGGCGTTATGAGGGAGTTCGGGAATATGTTGTCGGGCTGAGTCCTCGGGGATGTCCGAAGGAATGCTAGGTTGGCGACCTATGTGTGAGGATGGGTAGAGCTTGTTGTGTCAACAAGCTCATTTCTTGATGTGTCGGAGGCCGCATCCTTGGCGGAGGAAATGGAATCTCACCATGAAAATGTTCGGGTTGAACATCTTCGAGCCCTGGTGGATCTTGCGGGAGAAGAATCTCTTCTATAGGTGCTAGTGCCGATCGTCGAGTCTCTCGCAGGAGTTGAAGGATCTCATTCTGAGATTCCTTCATTTTTCTAATGCGGGCTTTCAAGGAAGGCCCCAAATTTCCTTCTCCAATAGCATTATACCCCCCAGGATAAAAAGAGGCAGATGTCTGGCGTCCCTGATTCATGGAAAATTTCCTGTATTAGAAAGATGGGATCTAGCTCAATATGAAAGAATTTCACTAGTGTTTGTTTGAGGTACAAGAAGTTGACTCGTCCTTAAAATTTAGCACGATCAGATTACAATGATTCACTCCCGGATTGAAATCCAGTTACAAACAAGTTGTGTATTTGAGCTGAAAGAGTCACTTAGAGATTAGACAGAATTTCGACGTCACTTGGAGATCGGGCAAAGTTTCGACATCATTGGAAAGTCGGGCGGAACTCTGACGTCACTTGGAAGCCGGGCAGAATTTCGACGTCACTTTGGCAGAATTTCGACGTCGAGTTGAATTCCGACATCACTTGGGCAGAATTCCAACGTCACTTGAAAGTCGGGCAGAATTCTAACGTCACTTGGAAGTCGGGTGGAACTCCGGTGTCACTTGAACGTCGAGCAGAACTCCGACGGTGGTCGGGGAGTTTCTTCCCTCCTTCCCTTCTTGTCTTCTCTTCTCCTTCTTCTCTTCTTCTTGCTTGGGTCCCCTCTTAAGAGAAATGAGGGGCTATTTATAGTTTTTTGAGGATGGCATGACCTGTAAATAGGAGGATGATCAAGGGCAAAGGTGGAGTGGTTGGGATGGACGGCCGATCTTAAATCCCTTGATCATGGACCGTTTGTCAGACATTTGAAGGTCTTAATGATATCGGAATTCGGCGATCTTGGGCTTGTTGGATTTGTCTCGTCGAGCCGCTCGATTCGACTATAAGCATGTCATGTTTGGAAACCGTTTGGTAATACAAATTGTGGTTTGAACCTTCCAACAGCACTTCGGGTCTTCGATTCGGACTCATTTGGGCTCGGATTGAGTTGAATTTGGTGTCGTTGGGTTTGTATTTCCGAGACGCTCAGTTCAACTATAAGTTTGCTAAAATCGGAGTTCATATGATCCCATATTTAATTTTTGAAATTTCCGGCTTGATTTTTGCCTCGAGATTCGTGTCCAATCAAGATAATTTTTTTGATGATATATCAAGTATATTTAAAATACACCTTAATTCTAAATATTTGCAACCAAACAGCCCCTAAATAAAAAGAAAACTGAGAATCAGAGAGATACGAATTTACAGTTTAATTATATTGAATTATTGCTAACGTAGTTGAAAAAGCTATCAAGTTCATGGGTGGGGACGTTAATTGGCATTGTTGCTATTAATACAACCTTGGATAATCTTTATACAATTTAAAATGATGTCAGAAGTAGCAATGTTACCTCCAAGGCGTTCTGCTACAGCACCAGTAAGTAAACCACCAACCATGTCAAGAACAAGTACATCTGAATAGGCACCAACGTTAGCCATAGACAGCAGAAGACACAAAGCATCAAATCTTAGAGACCTAGCAATCAAGGGGAAAAACAACGAAGAAATTACAAATTAACTCCCAGGAATAATATGCAGAACTTTATTGCATATTTTTTAGAAGCTTGTAAAGACTGGTAAAACATTTCATAAAACTTGAACGGGCAACTAGTATGAGCAATGGATACCATAAGAAGAGATCCAAAAGGCCAATTAACTGCTTAGCCTCCCATCAATTATTCTTTTTATTTTTTATTTGTTGTTACACAGTGAGAGTTCCATGAGAAGAATAGGAAAAAAATGAGAAAAAAGTCAAAAATAATTTCCCGACTATTAGTAAGTACCCAATTTAGTCTCAGAGTTTTGCATTGCGCCCCAATTTAGCCCCTCGACTATTGAAAATTGATCCAATTCATCATAGGACTAAAAATAATAGTTATACCAAAATTAAATGTGTAGGTATTTTAGTTAGTGCAAGTGTATATAAGTTTGCATAGCTTGTGTTATTATATTTTGTCATTTAATATATTTTAATAAATACGAAAACTAGAATGAAAGTTAACCTAATATATAATAAGAGTGGATAATCAGTAAAAGAATATTGTATGTTAAGCAAAATGTAAATGGAGGATCATACAAACTTGTACAACTCTTGTTACAAAAGATATTGTTATTGACTACAAAACTCCAAAATCCTTATCACAAAAAATGGTGTTATTGGCTACAAAACTCCAAATTCCATATTACAAAAAAATAGTCTACAAATGATGTCCTCCAAAACGTCAAAACGGAAGCTCATACAAAAAACTACATTGTCTATTATATCCTTCAAGCTTATCAACCTGCCTTCTTTCTTTCGTATGTATAGACTATAGACCTATTAACAAACACGATATCACATTAGTATTAAGGAAAATTGAAGTAAACAGTTGTTAATAAAATTTTATTCACTTATTAATAGTCTCTAGTTGGACAATCCTTGTATTCACACATTCATTATTGCCACTGTCTACAAGTTACAATATCAATCAAATTATTACGACTGAACCAAAGAAACAAAATAAAATAAAATAAAGATTTAGTGCATTTGCATTTTTTTTTTAATTAACCATGAATGCAAAGTCTCTTCACTTAACTAGTTTGCTCCTACTGTTAGAGTTTAGTTCTTGAAGATGCAAATCACACTTTAATACTACATTATGTTATAGGACTTCTTCAATTTGAAGTGTTCGAGCAAGAGGTGTTTCTATGATTTTTCCTTTTCTTCTTGTCACAACTCCTGCTATTATGAACTCTATTTATATTTGCTACAATGGAGGGCCACAATTAACCTGCTTAAGCTTCTTCTTTGTGAGTTATTTAGTCGCACATTTGGAGCCATTTTTCTCAACTTTGGCGGTCGACCCCTCTCAAATTTATTATACTTTGGTGGCAATGGAAATGCTTTGTTACTTATAGGACATTCATCATTGAACTCATAAGTTTTCTTACAATTGTCCACTGAGTAGTGGTTGCGGACAACATTCTTATGATATAATTCTCCAATATTGATTGCAACACACATGAAGACAAAAAAAGCCATTTAATTCTCATCTCCTGAAACAACATGACATGAAATCCAAGTCAACAGTGCTGTGGCCATTACATTGTAGTAATAAGTAATATAGTAGTTTTCATCATCAACCTTTACACCAATACAGCTCCCAACACCATATAGATTTTTTATGAGTGCTTCAACCTTTGAACCTTCATGTACACCAATTTTCAAGCTTTATTAACAGCTTTCCTTGCTTGTGACTTTGAAATATGCAATCTGTCGATTGCCTTCAGGGACCTCAATTGTATTACACAAAAATAGAGGATAGACATTGAAAAAATGGGTGTAATGATAAAAAAAAGTTCACAAAACACAAACTAGTGGTTTTCACCGAATAGTCATAACTTTGGATACTTTCTCTATTATCCATGGTCGAAGATTTCATGACCTTATTAGTTCGGATTGTACCGTTCCGCCATGCATCAACATGAGCAAAATCCTGCTTGCACTTCTTACCTCATCTTCATTCGAGATAGTGCTTCGTCGCTTGCACGCCCAAAATCCCGTTGGCAGCCCTTCGAGCTAATTCATTGCTTAGAATTCACTACTCACACGCACAATCACAAACCCTAGCCACTCACATGCTGCTTGTCGAAGATAGTCACATACTACTCATCAATTTTAGTTACATGCTGCTTCAATGACTTGCTGCTCTCAGTTAGAACTTCACAATCTTTCATTTTTTGATCTTACACTCGCACAAGATGCTTTCAGAATGAGATCAACTATGACATATAAAAATAAATAAAATTTAAATTTATTACTAAAATGTCCCCCTAATATTATGAGAAGCTGAAGATATGCATAATAATTCATTTCAATTTGATAGATTTTTTAATGGAGGGGCAAAATTGGATAAATTTAAAATGGTAGTGTGAAACTCTAGGATTAAGTTTGACGCTTACTAATAATTAGGGAGCTATTTTGGACTGTATTTCCAAAAAACTGAACGTTGCTTATTAGAATAAGTTATAACTTCAATGTTGAAATCAAATAGAATGCAATAGAGCTTTTAAACTAATGCATTACGTTTATAAGAACTCAATGCCCTTGATAGGAGCCAAGGGAGTGCTTGATGAGCACCAGGTAGAAGTCAAATTTACATAATAAAATACTGCCAAAGAATATTTAAAGTTCATAGGTTTATCGAGCCTTATTCTAAAAAGTTTCAGGTACATCAACTGGAAATTGCTTTACATTTTATTATTAAATAAGAGATGAATCAAGAAGAGAAAAACTCTAAACCATCTCATCATGGACAAATATAATCCTGGAAAAGCATGTTCAATTACATTGTAGTTTTAAACAAGAGATGAAAACAAAAAAAGAAGATAGTTGAGCACATAACAATAACAGAATTCCGAGCATTCCTTACCCTATTCGAGTAGGATATTTCTTGAAATATGCTTCACATATACTGCAAAACAAATTAAACACACGTGAATGCATACCATAACTTCATGTTAGTTTAACTTTTAAATGTTGATGTTATGAAAAAAAGAGCAATCACATGACAATTTCTCTGAATGAACTTCAAATAGAACAAGCACATGGTGTAAAGAATAGGGGCTTAAGTGACTAAGCCAAAACATATTTCAAGGGCAGAAGCTCGGCAAAGGGAATTGAACAAATGAAAACCTAGCTCAAAAGGTCAAAAAAAAAAAAAAAAAAAATCTTCAAAATGCTTATTTAGGAGAGAGGCCGTCAACATATTCCTCAGATTTCTTCTAACCATGTTTGGTTTCTCAAGACAGCATAACAAAATTTACTAATTTTAGCCAAAAATAAATTTCAGGACCAAGCCATTGTTCAACTATTCTATATTGCTTAGTGTTAAATTGAGTGGAACGAGAGGGAAAAGCTTAAGCTTTATTGCATGAATTCTTCCCTATATATAGATCTATACAAGATGTTTAGAAAAGGAAACAAATAACTACACAAATATGAAATATAACTCCTAAATCAGCTGCCTATCTATGGAAGGCGTTTCAACGTGATTCATGAGTGCTTCCCACCGATTGCTCTTTGTGACCGTCAGATCCTTTCCACTAGTAACGGCTGGATTTCGACACTTAGATTTTTTTTTTTCACCAAAATGAATTCAGCAGCATTAAATTTGAAAATTAAACAAGATATGCATACTTTTATTGACAATTTTATGGTTCACAGCAATTTAGAAGATATGTTCATATATGATAAGCTAGGAGTTTGGAAATTATGAGCCTAATTTGCTTCAGATTTCCTTATAAATTTAAAATAAATATTACATAAAGCCATTAGTTAAATGATACAGCATTGTATCTTAGGGTACTAGACGCACCACAAAGATGGAAGATAAAATTAATTTCAAATTAATGTGGAAATGAGTAGGCCAAGGATAGTAAAGCTAAATATTGTGTTAAATGATAAAGTTAAGCATCTCATGCAGCGCTTACAAAAATGAATGGAGAATGAAAATTATAAAACAAATCCCAATTAGTTTAAATTAAGGCTAACGAAAACGATGATAAACCACTTTTTCTCCCTATCTTTCTCTCTATTCATCACACACACTCTCTCACTTTTCGACTTTCCGTTTCCTTTTCTCTTTTCCCTCCATCTGATGGGTGGTGGTGGAACACGTGAAGCATAAAGACAATTATGACATTTAAGGAATACAGAAAATCTATATTTGCTTAGCTGCTGCAAAAATTACAGATCACGTTACTAAAATATTTCAAATTGCATTTGGTAGACCAACAAAAGTGGCATAATGGAAGTACAAATTCATCAATGGACATAGCGGCTAAAGCCTATTTGGCAATGTTATGATACTATTGTGTCGTGCAGTGTTGCATGAAATAGTCACTTTTGTCATAAGCTATCTGTAGCATTTCTCAATGGTTGTGAAGTCATTGAAAGGAAAAGGCACGCAAACAATAAACGAAGCCACATAGTCTGTTTCCCATGTGAATCAAAATGGTGATAATAATAGGTCTTAAAAAGCAAAGCAAAAATAAATTCTAAATAAAGCCTTTAATGTATGAATCACATACAGTAAAACAAATCAGATTCAAATGCACTAATCAAACAACCTTTTCATTGCATCAATATCTTCAGAAGAAAGACTTTGTGCAGTATTATTATCAAACAAGGATCGATTATCCTTCATTTCACTACTTGGATGCAAGTAATCTTTATCCTGCATAGTGGCAGCTAAGCACAACAATGTAAATTAGCAATATTAAACAATTAGGTCATTAGTGCAAGAAAAATAAAATAAAATAAAGACAAATCAGTGTTTGAAGGACAGCCTCCACCTGAGATTTAACAAAACACTACTAGATACCTAACAAGCTTAGTGGCAAAGGCAGTTAAAACGATTCTCTTTTAGGCATCCTGAGGAAAGCTGCATATTTTAATCTCTAAATGTAGAAAAAAGTAAAGAACTTACATTCAAGCCCATGTGTATCGACAAGAGGGTCTCAACCATGAATGAAGGACATTTTAACAATAGAACTTCAAATATGGCCATGTTTGAATGTAATCATGACCATAGATCTGCCAAAGGTTGCTATGGCCATGTTTGAATGTATTAATGTAATCATGACCATTGATCTGGCAAAGGTCGCTAAGAGATGAAAACGAATCTTTTCTACTTCTTTATTTTTATTTGCAAACGGAAACGATAAATTTAAGGCCATTGTCCAAGTACCCTTTCTTTGGGGCCTTTCCAAGGGTAGATTACTTTAGAAAATGTAACCGACAACTTACCAAATAAAAAAAAGGCTGTACAAAGACCATAATGCACCATTTCAAAGTAAACGAGAGAAACAATGTTAACTACTAGAGAAAACTGAAGGACAAGTATTTTAGTGTTCTCTGAAACTGGAAGAACCTCAATGCCACTTTCAAAGGTCTAAAATCAAATTTGACTATTGTAATAACTTATACTAGTGTTCAATGAACTAAATGAACCTCAATGCCACTACTGATAATTTATATATGCTTAATTTGCAGGGGAGAAAAACACATTCATAGATGCATATCTTTCGGAAGAAATTTTTCTTTTTGCACTTTCAGTAATAGCATTTTCATAGTGATGGATGAGTTTGGTGATTCCTTTTAAGATACACCAAACAAAATATCATATTTAAGCTGAACTGAGATCAAACGTCACACCCAGCATAGAAGGATAGAGAAAATAAACCAAGTTAAAAACAAAAAGACAAACTAAGATCTAATCTGCTAATATTGTTAGAGCATAAATAGGGGTGTAAACGAGTCGAGTCGAGCTCAAGTCAAGGTGTGTTCGAGCTTGACTCGCGAGCCAAATATCGAGCTCGAACTCGAGTCGAGCTCGGGCTCAAATCGCGATACAAAAACAAGCTCGTCGAGCCGCTCGATTTTGGTTTCCCGCCCACCGCAATTTCCCGCCCAGCAAAATTGCAGATGTCGGAGTCGAGGCCAGCGGTCCCAGTGCACGCGGCGATGCCCGAATCCACATGATCCGTTGCTCTTTCCCTTGGATAAAAGGTGTTTAGTGGTTGACGCCAAATGGCCAACGGTCCGAATCCAGCGGCACTGTAGACACCCATTTTTTATCTTCTCTTGTATAAAACATTTAATGCATTGCATTGACATTTGACAACCATTTTTCTTCGAAACATACACATCGGTACAACCATCTAATTTTTTGAAAAAACTAACTATAAGTTTTGAAAAATAGTAATTATTTAAATTATATGTTTTTGAAAAACTAACAACAACAGTACAACCATCTATTTTTTTAGATTTAAATTTAATAAAATAGTAATTACTTAAATTACCTAAAAATGATTCGAGCCGGCTCCCGGGCGCACCAGCCGGGCGCCATCAGCTCACGAGCCGAGCCCTATCAAGCTCGAACTCGAGTTCGAGCTCGACTCATGAGCTCGATAAGCTTTGCTCATGAGCCCATAAATGAGTCGAGCTCAAGCCGGCTCGATTCACTTACACCCCTAAGCATAAATATACAAAATATGTCAAATAATGAAATTTTGCTAGAAACCAAACTTAGTAGTCCAAAATGCCAAAACTATTTAGTTATTACATTATATATGGATTATTTGGGTAGTTTCTTGCAATATCCAATCGAAACAAATGAATTGGGGAGACATGACAACAATATTGTAATGAACATTTAATATTCAATCAAGTTGATCCTTCACTTGAGATTTCAACTAAAAATGCAACTTTGTTGATGCCGGATTTGGGGTGCTTGAGATTCCAAGATGGAAAACCACCATATAAAATAATTCTAGAAAAGGATAGTGATGATCATAGGTGAAGAAGATGATTTCTTTGGGAGTCTTTCAGATGGGAGCATCATAACTTTGTTAATAAAATATAATGCATTTACAAGCCATGACTCTTGAGTCGGAATGTTTACTTAACAAAAAAAAAAAGAATTGAATCCCATGATATTTCCATGAAATTAAGGATTATCAATTATAAATTTAAACAATTCAACTCGCCTGACTTGAAAGGTTAAGGCCTTTCTCGAGCTCATGAATAGGGATTCCTTCTAACCCAATGATGATTTGTGGCCCTTAATGCTTAGAAATCATATAACCATTGAGATCTTGGTCCATAATATACCTCACTCAATCCCCAACCAACTTGATCCTATCATTTTATCCAAGTATGGCTAAGCCAAACAATAAATTGTTGAGCAATGGAAGCGTCCCTTCCATAGTTATATGGTGCTCCCTAAGTGTTAAGTTGGGTAGTAACCGTGTTGAGTGATGGTGCACCTAAGTCATCTAGGTACTCCTAGCTAAACAATTTGTGTCCATGTTATTGAGTGGGTCCCATGCTATTGAACCTACATTAAGGGGCTCATCAAACTCAATCGAATTAGCTACTAGTAGGATCTTCCACAGGTGTGTATGAAGCCTTGAAAAGCAGAGGACTTGCAATCCCTATAAATTTCCCTCATTTTAAATCACATTAGAAGTGGGTTGAAAATATAAATACACTTTAAGACTTTCTAATTAGTATGCTATTCTCATTGCATTTATCTGCCACTAATACAACCAGTAAGATTCCATCCTAAACCCCCTATCTGAATTTAAAAAAAAAAGGAAAAGCAAACACCTTGTGTTTGCTTTGTCGCCTTCTTCACTGGTGATTAGAACATCATTAGTGTTAAATTCATCAACAGCTCCCTTACATTCTGGAGCTCCTAGAAATAAAGATATAGTTAGCTTCTCTTTCCTAGGGAGACATGCACTTGAAAGGAAAGACTTCTTTTGCAACAACAGTATAGGGAAAATATGACATGACTTTTGTACTGCTTTAAAGGCATTATAGTCATCATCTCACAAATTAAGAGATAGATTCTCACAAAAGCCTTTTGATAGATTAGTGATTGTGATATTGACTAGAGAAGAGCACAAAGATGCTCATAGGCTATAATGAAGAGCATCCTCTTGATGTTGATCTCAAATTGCAAGTATGGTGTCTTGAGGTTGAAGATGAATAAATTAATCTAGAGAAGAAATATATGTGATGTGGAGTCATCAAGCAAACATTCCTGTGAGAGTAGTGAGGTTGTTGTTGGTATTCAAACATTTCCTGAGAACAACCCGTTACAAACTATGCCAAATCTTTTAATAGAAAGACACATTGAACAAATAGTAAAGTAGTAACATAATCTCAATTCCAACTCATTGTTACATGCTAGTGAACTTGGTTCTTTGGTGTCCACTATGAATCAGGTGGGAGTTTACTAAGTCAGCCTATAAAAGTCAAGGTTCGAGCACAATTTTATCCATGATCCTAACTTGAAGAAGTTTAAGAAAAATCTTTATGCCTAGAAAAAAATGGGGTATATAAAAAAAAACTGATGAAGAGGATTTAAAGCTAAAATAATTGTATTCCCTATATTCTAGCTACAGAGCTCAGAATCATCACTCATGAGAATGTAGCTAATTGATGCATTGCTCTACTTGTTTGGTGGGTTATATCAACCCATCTTGGCGGGCAGTACAATTAAGACCTTGCATTCTCATCACTTGGGTGAGATGTGGAACCTACTCTCCACATTGGTGGTTGAACTCACTTGATTCTTATGATGGAGCTCGTGCATGCTAGAAAAATGATTTGATGGTGATTCTTGTTGGCATCATTCATATAGTGATAATCATTTCTTACAATGAAGAGCCCTTTAGAATGATTTCCTTTTTATTTTCATTCATAAATGGTAATGCACTTTCTTCCTTTATTTTTTTTATTTTTTATTTTTATGAAGCTAATCCAAAGATTCACATGGTGTTCTACCAATTCAAGACAATCTCTCAACCAGGAGCTGGAATAAAATGATGTGATAACTCGTCACCCACTAGTGTGTGAAAGAAAGCAGAGCCAAGTCAATTCAATAACAGGATATGGCTCGCGAAGGAGATGATATGCACTAAAAAAAAATTTAAATTTATGAAGGAGTGCAAACACGAGAGTAGAAAAAAAAACTTCCAAGATGGACATGTGTGGTGATATCTTCATGGTCGACCAGTGTGACGTCTTGTTCCTTTTTTCCTAAACAATGTTAGGTATCCATTTCTACTTATGGAGGTCCTATCAACCAAGGCTAGTGGGTAGTTTCGACACATGCTGTTCATGTGACATTTGCTCAGCGTCTAGAAGTTCACCGCAACTCATTTCTTCTTTTAGGTTTATGCCCTCTTCATTCTTGTCACATCATCCATGTCTTCTTTATGGCTTTGCAATTATGTGAAAAAATGGGAGAGCTTAAAAATAAAACAACAAAGGCAAAGATGTTAGACTTTTTGCTAGCATTTAACACCAATAAGATGTATCCAAAGTACATGTTGAAAAAATATTTGAGCATTATTCACACTATTTGCTCTGTTAAAAAGATGTTTGTCCTTCATCCTCCTACTATTAGAGAATTATTAAGCTCATAGTCAGAGCTATGCATGAATATTGACCCTTTTTGGAGCAACCTCATGCTTTTCATGCAACAACGGTTTATTGATATGTTCATACTCCTCGAGAAGCGAGAAAGATTTTTCTCGGCTTGGCTCTCCAACTAATGGAGACATAGGTTGCTTCTTTGCTCCCTTCTTCTCATCAAAATACTTCTTTCCATTTTGTGATAATTTTGCCACTTTTTCTCATTCTCATAATTTACTTCATCCATCACCATTACTTCCTTCTCATGCTCATCATCTTACCTCTCTTCCATCATCCCCATCACTTTTCACCCTTGATTTCATTTCCCTTCATTCTTCTCAAGCACATTCTCCAACATCAATCTATGTCACTCTACATCTCATTGCATTGCTTCCCCCTTGCCTCCTTCATTTGAGCACATCCTTGTCAAATTTCTCCCCACCACTTAACTACTCATCATTCTTCCTCTCTTTAGCCAAAAAAGTTGGCACTGCTTCTCATTGCATAGAGGATTCCCATGCTCATATGAGCACTTTGTCAGGAATAAAGATAGAATGAAAGTAACTACTCATCTAAATCTCAAGATCTCACTTCTTTCAGTCGAGATAAGTGGATTCTCCTTAATTGTGGGGGGAACCATTCACTTTGAACCAAACTGAAAGTAAATGAGAAAAATATTGCCTCCACACTCCAAAAGTTTATGAAACATAAATTGGCTGAGAAATTTTGAGGTGATTAAATTCATAACTATGGAGTACCATATAATAAGCTGGGAGATCAAGACTGCCCAAGCAAAGTTGGATACACTTTTTATATAGGGAAATAAATAGTACGTGGATTGAGTTGAAGCCTTAGAGGAGAGGTCATCTTATTCAAAACTTCTTCTGATATTATCATTTTACTATCTCTTTTTCTTTTTAGTCCTGCCTTGCTGATCTCATCTTCTTTCCTAATTGGTGCACCATCTGCGCTGTGTTGCAAATGAAAAAAAAAAAACAACAAAGCCACTTTCCACAAAATTATCTTAATAGACGTTACTTTCATTGTTCCTCAAACCTAATCATTCATTAATCCTTCATTCCTCATTTTGGCACATCTCAGATCAAATTAGGATTCATCTCATAAATTTGGCATAAAGTTTACGATTGTTTGCTAACCTAAGAACGACCATCAACCTCTCTCATCCAAGCTCCAGACCAAGGACAGCAAAAAATAATGATAAATAAATCAAATTTTCAACCAATTTTTGACCTTTGAGTCAAATTAGAAGCATTCATGGCAACCGTAAAATTACAAATTTATAAACAAAAAGATGTCCTCCACAGGCAACATGATATACCAGAAGGGTGTGAGGAAACCTAACCATTTTCAGCCAAAATACAAGAAGAATAACATCTGGCAAGGTGAGAACCATTGGCGCCCATCTCCACCCTAAATAAGGAACCAAACGGGCAGCCGATCAAGGGCCTCAAAGAGCACTTCTTGTTCCCGATTTTAAGAGTCCTGCAATTCCAAAAACCTTAAATCACCACATTTCGGTATAATTCCATAGCCGTTACTCCAATAGTTCAGCCATTAAAATATATAAAATATAATAGGTGTTTGGGTTTTAAATAACGTACGCGGCGGAAGAAAGTCGGGCAAAAACGAGACGGTCACCGTCGTTGATGTCTAGAAGAACGCTGCAGCCCTCCCATGTAACTCTATGGTTCGCCTGCGAAGTCTTCTGACTAGGGCTAACGCCGCAGGCTGATTCAATAGCCATGGTTCCCTCAAGCCCACCTGAGCTTCTGATCAAAAGCTAAAGCTTTCAGGGGCTGTTAAATCTCACAGCTAGTTAAATCCACCGTTTCTCTCTGATTTACTAAAAATCCGGGCGTTCGGCAGATTTACGGGATTTGGAGGAAGAAGCGCGCGAAAGAAGTAAAGCTGGCTACCTTCGCAACAAGCAAGCTCCCGTCGTCGTCGTTCCTTCCGATTCAACAGAAGAACGGCGAGGAACTTCGGATCCGACAGGAGGGAATGTCGCAAAGGCGAAGAAGTTATTTACCGGCTCGTTCAAAACTACCTCGAACAGGTATTGCTAGAGAACATAGGGATAAAATAATTTAGTTTAATTAGGTTAATTAAAATAATTAAGAATATAATGAATTATTTAGATTAATTGATAATATGCCCCAAAGAAAATTAATTAATCATTAGCTTAAATTCTATTTGTATTATTTATAGTGGTTAGTTAGTAATGATAGTTAAAATTAATAATTAACTCATAAAAAATTAAAAATATAATCAAAATTAAATTAATGTTTGATACATCCTCAAAAAATCATCTTGATCGTGAGCGAATCTCGAGGAAAAATTAAGTTAGAAACTTTCGAAATTAAAATTGAAACCATCCGAACTCCGATTTTAGCAAACTTATAGTCGAACTGAGCGTCTCGGAAATACGAACCCAACGACACCAAAATCAACTCAATACGAGTCCAAATGGGAAGCGTTGTTGAAAGGTTTGAACCATAATTTGAATTACCAAATGATTTCCAAACATGACGTGCTTATAGTCGAATCGAGCGGCTCGATTAGAAAAATCCAACGAACCTAAGATTATTGAATTCCGACATCACTAAGACATTCAAATGTCCATCAAACAACATCGACCGTCCATCCAAGTCACTCCCCATATGCCCTTGATCTCCCACCTATTTATGGGTCATGGCACTTTAGGAATTTATAAATAGACCTCTCCTCCCTCTTTAAAAGGGAAGCTCCAAGCAAGAGAGCAAGAGAGAGATCGGAGATCGCTGTTGCCTCTTCGCCCCGCCTCGACCATCGCCTGAGTTTCTCCACCGCATGATGTCGTTGCTCTGGCAGACCACCACTTAAGGCCCTGAACTCTGCTAGACCACCACTTGAGGCCCTCTCATTTGCTGGACCACCACTTGAGGCCCTGAGCTCCGCCGGGCCACCCACCACTTGAGGTCTTGAGCTCCATCGGACCACCACTTGAGGCCCTGACCTCTGTTGGACCACCACTTGAGGCTCTTAGCTCTGTCATACCACCACCTAAGGCACAGACTTCTGACGAACCACCACCTAAGGCCATAAATTCTGTCGAGCCACCACCTAGTGCCCGGACTTCTATCAAACCACCACATGAGGCTCAAACTTCTGCCTGACCACCACATGAGGCCCGAACTTCTGTCGGGCCACCACATGAGGCCCGAAATTTTTTAGACCACCACCCGAGGCCTGAACTTCTACCGGGCCCACCTGACGCCCAGACTTCTATGGGACCAGTACATGAGGCTCGGACTTCTGCCAGACCACCACCTGAGGTCCGAACTTCTGTCGGACCACCACCTGACTCCCGGACTTATACCGGACCACCACTTGTGGCCCGGACTTCTGTCGTATCACCACCTGACGCTCAAACTTCTACTGGACCACCATTTGTCACCCTAACTTCTGCAGGACCACCACCTGAGGTCCGGACTTCTATCGGACCACCATATGAAGCCCGGAGTACCACCCTACTACAACGGTCTTTCTGACCCTGATTTCCTACAAACTACGGTCTTTTGGACCCCTATCTCCTGCCAGCTACAGTCCTTCCGACCTCTGTCGCTTATTATGGTCCTTTCAATCTCCATCACCAGATAACGGCCTTTCTGACCCCGGTCTCTTGCCAACTACAGTCTTCCGGACCCCTATCTCCTGGTTATTATGGTCCTTCTGACCTCTGTCGCATACTACGATTCTTTTGACCTCCATTGCCAAACAACGATCTTTCATACCCCTATCTCATGCCGATTATGGTCCTCCCAACCTCAGTCGCCTACTACGATCCTTCCGACCTCCATCGCTAGACAACGGTCTTTCGGACCCTTGTCTCATGCTGATTATGGTCCTCTCGACCTCCGTCGCATACTACGGTCCTTCCGACCTCCATCGCTAAACAACGATCTTTCTGACCCCGGTCTCCTACCTACTACGCTCTTTCTGACCTCTATCCCAAATATTATGGTCTTGCCGACCAAACAAGCATGTCTATATTGATTATTATAAATCCAACCATATAATGCGCTCTATATGATGCACATTTGTGAAACTGAGCCAAGGCCTTCTCCCAAGGAAGGGCCTCATTTGTAATTGACTGCAAATACTAGTGGATTCATTCAAACTGGGCTAGACTCCGTGATTTTTTCCCCTTTTCAAGAGTTTACACGTAAAAACTCTGGTGTCTCTTATGAATGCCGCACCCTCTCTCCTATCTAATTATGTACTAGATCTTCGTATAATGTTAAGATGTTAAACTATATATTTCTCTACCACCACGAATATTTCAAAATGTAACAATGTTATTTCATAATTAAATTATTTTCTAATTATATTATGTTTTTAATTAAAATTTGTTGACCTTAATTAAAAAAATAATTAATAAATAACTTGTACTTAAAATATAAATTAAATTAAAGCACAAATTAAATTAATTTTTTATTGAACTAAGAGCTTTAAATCTTGTATTATATTGTCAAACAGTTCTACATGAATTAACATTTATCTTGGCAAATAATTTTTAAGATTTAATTTTAATAGGATTTATTATTTAAAAATTTCAGATATATAGGAATTATTAAATCCTACTTGTTGATAAACAGCCCCTTAGGGTTTTGAGATTTTTGTTGGAGCAAGCACCTTCAATGCATGAGTGGGAGGAGTAGGTTTATGGGTTAGTTTTTTCCTTTTTTATTTTATTTTATTTTAATATGTAGTTGTCGACTTGTCGTAGTTGTATTTAATTATAATTTTTTATTAAATTTTAAAAAAGAAATAATTAGAAAATTAATAATTATAAAAATATTATATTAAGCATACTAGCTTTTTTAAATATATATTTTATATATCATCAAAATTTAATTATGATATGGCACGAATCTCAAGGCAAAATCGAGTTAGAAACTTTCAAAATTAATTCCAGAGCCATATGAACTCTGATTTTAATAAACTTATAGTTCAACTGAAAGTCTCGAAAAGATGAATGCAACGACACCAAATTTGATCCCATCTGAGTCTAAATGGATCCAAATCAAAAGATCAAAAGCACATTTAGAAGGTTTAAACCATAAATTGGACGACCAAA